CTGATATGTCCATGAAGGTCAAAATGTTGGATTGTAGAATCGTATTCTAATTTATTTTCTTATTACGTGCTCTGTAATTGTAGGATTAATTTGTAAAAGATTTGTTTCAAACGGGGCAAAACTGAAAAATCTGAAACCGCTCCCCAACTGAGCAAAATGGATAAAATTCGCGGGAAAGGAGAGAGAAAAAAAGGGGAAGGTTCTGCACATTGGTGGTTGATATGAAGAGAACAATATCAAAGGACTTCGGGTTGCTTTGTAAAAAGTTCAGGGGTATCGGAACAATTTTGTAGATAAAAAAAAGGCTTTTGTTTTTCAATTCCGAAATTAATTCAGATATTTTTCCATATTTGTCATAGAATTTCTCTTCTGGTTTTTTGTCGTTTAAGCATTGGACATAAGTTTCTATTTTTAATATATTTTATGATTTTTAACAAAATTACTTTTATAACAAGATTCGTATCCATGTTTTAGTGCAACTTTGACCCATTTGCATCAAAATAACAACTCGGTCATCACACTAAATATGAGTCTTATTTATCGAAATTTTATTATTCTAAAAAAAGATTGATTCAGATATTTTTCCAATTTTATTAACATCTAATGTGACAAACAAGTTACATTAGGTTCTGTAGAAGAAATTGTCCCATAAGCATTGTTGCAATACGCAGCTGTCTTGTCTTTGTTTTTCGAAGAGACTATGTTAATCCGATCCAAAGAAATACCCGAGCATGGTATCTTGTCGCTGCAATTGAAGTTTATTGCAATTCGAGATGACGATGTTCCTTGGAAAAACTTATAACTTATGTTACTGACATTCACCGCCGCTGACTGCATATAAGAAATACGTAAGCTAGTAACTTCTTGTTTCATGAAATTAATATTCTTCAGAAAAGATTTCATTGTTGAGCGAAGAAAGATTAAGATGGCCGGATACGTTCCTACTACATCAGAGGTGTTACTTGATATAGGTCAAGAGGACAAGGAAGATGCTCTGAATAGACATAGTGAAAAACTTGCCATTGCCATTGCCTTTGCCCTTTTAAAGACACCACCTGGGATTCCTATCAGGATTGTGAAAAACTTACGGGTTTGTGGTGATTGTCATTCTGCAACAAAGTTCGTCTCCAAGATCTATAGTCGAGAGATATTAGTAAGGGATAGAAACAGATTTCATCACTTCAAAGATGGAGTATGCTCATGAAAAGACTTTTGGTGAAAGTTGATGTAATTCAGCAAGGTACGAACCAGCAGCTGGAGAAGGAGAAATCTGAAAAGTTACATTTCGAGAGCTTTACCAAATGCATAGAAATATAGAATGATTCTGGTGCATATGTGCCGTACTTTATATATTCATTTTCAAGCATTTCATTCGGGGCCAAAGGATTTATTCATGCAAATCAACAGAACTCGAAACAGATACGTGTAAACAATAATCTAGAAATATCCTTCATTTCAGGAATGAGTTTATTAATGAAAGCAACAACGAAAACAACTAGAATTCGGTTTCCATAAGATCCATGATATTAGGTACCAGGATGATTACAAGCTTTGGTAAGAACCAGTGTCACAGTTCCCGTCAATGGAAATTAAAGGTGGGATGCTCTGCTCAAAATAGAAGAAATTATCTGGATCAACTGCACCCTTCACCATAGCCAACCTCTTGAAATTGTCGTTAAAATAGCTGCTTCCCCATTTCGTGGCTCCTAAGTAGCTTGTGTTATCTATATCACCATTTGTACCTAAATCCAAATCCCTGTAATTCACATAAGCTGCCCTTGGATTCTTGGACACATATGGTGTCATATTCTTGTAGATCCTCCGCATCCAACTTATATGCTTTTCTGATGCTTCAACGCTTCCGTTATCCCACTTCTCAAAGTATTGTATGCTATACAAATACCCTTTTCTATGTGGGTATGGAGTTGCCGTTTCCTCTATCTCGTCCATTCTTCCACCGTGTGGTTCCATTATAAGAATCGGATTGTCTTCCTCCAAACACCATTTCCATATCTCTTCCAATGTTTCTTCAGGGATAGGTTCTTTCACATAATCTGATTTACCATTGAAGTAGCTTCTGGGCTCGGGTATCCTATCTCTAAGGACATCGATGCTTGATCCTGTTGGATAGATTGAAAAATAGAGTATTGATTCAATCCAACTCATCTCACTACAGTCTTTTTCCTGTAAACCCAGTTCAGGGAAGCTATCTGCCACTGTTTCAATGAGCTGGTCAATGCTTCCAAGAAACATCGAGTTGAATATAACTTGAATTGTTCTGTTTCCTGCCCCATCTGAAGTAGGTTGTATTATAACTCTAATGAACAAATCTTCACTTAATTTGTGCCCTTTATACTGCCACTTATTGAACAGATCCGAAGCTCCTTGATCTAAAGTCTTGGAAAGACTAAAAACCGAAACTTTTTCAGGAACATCCACAAGATTGACCTTCCAAGCTACTACAATACCGAAACTTGCTCCTCCACCTCCTCTAATAGCCCAAAACAGATCTTCTCCCATAGATTCTCTATCCAGAATCTTCCCATTGACATCAACAATCCGAGCATCGACAACATTATCTGCCGCGAGCCCATACTTCCTTATCATAGYACCAAACCCCCCTCCGCTTAGTTGTCCACCAATCCCTACAGTTGGGCAAATCCCAGCTGGGAATCCAAGATCTCGACTTTCTTGAGACACCCAGTAATACAATTCACCAACCGTGGCACCCGATTCAACCCACGCAGTCTTCTCACTCGAATGAATCGTTATGTTTCTTAGTTCTTTAAGGTCAAGAACAACAAAAGGGGTTTGATCATAGGAAGTGTAGGAAAGGCCTGCATAGTCATGGCCCCCACTTCGGATCCGGATTCGATATCCGAAACTTTTGGAACAAAGAACTGTAGATTGTACATGGGAATATGTCAAAGGCGTGATAATAGCTATTGGTTTTGGAGTTGTGGGAGTGGAAAATCTAAGGTTTATGATAGTTGACTCAAGTACAGATAAGTATGCTGTGTTTTCTTGGGTGAACACAAACTCTGATTGTGTGGCATTTGGTGGAGAATCTTGAGAAAGGCATTTAAGAAAGTTATCATCCATTAGCTTTGAAGATGCTGATGAACACAAAACCATAAGAATCACTAGCAAAAATGGTGGAAATTTAGTGCCAAATTTTAGCTCCATGGTTTCTTTTAGGTAGGGATAGACAGAGATCTGATCCTAATCTAGATATATAGAAAATACCCATAAGGGAAATGTTTAATATACTTTTTGTAGTATTATATAATATTGTTGCATCATTAATGAATACTGTGGATGGAAGTGGAACCCATCAATAGGGTAAGTCTTTTTAAATTCTAATATTGTTTGGAAAAAAAAAGGGAATTATTAAAAAAACCCATTTTATATGTTAAATAAATATGTTCTTATAAATTCTTCTTTTAAGTATGTCAGTATTAAATTATATTTTTACATTTTTGATGTATTTGATTTGATCTAGGAGGGTCTGTTTAGCAGCACAAACTCTGATTATGAGTTACTTTTATGAAAGTCATTTTACAAACTAATGTTGTATTGATTTTCAAGATTTTACAAGGATATATAGTTTAATATCATATATTTTATGTTCCACACTAAATATGAAGTTATTTAAAAGTTAATGAGTTTCAAAATGAAAAAAGTCATGCCCATAATTAAAGATCCATTTAACTAAATAACCCAAAAAAGTACATCTATCTTACTTCACAACCCTCAACATAACTTTCCCTCTAAACTTCAACTTTAGTTCATGATGTGTTTCTGAAAGACGACACATTGTCTACCCTATGACGTATCCCAGAAGAAACATATCGACTCTATACTGATATGTCCACGAAGGTCAAAATGTTGGATTGTAGAATCGTATTCTAATTTATTTTCTTATTACGTGCTCTGTAATTGTAGGATTAATTTGTAGAATATTTGTTTCAAACGGAATAAAACTGAAAAATCCGAAACGTTGGTGGTTGATATAATGAGAACAAGATTGAAGGACTTTGGGTTGCTTTGTAAAAAGTTGAAGGGTACCTGAACAATTTTGGAGATAAAAAAAAGGCTTCTTTTTTCAATATCGAATTAATTCAGATATTTGTCCATATTTGTTATAGGATTTCTCTTTTTGTTTTTTATCCATGGATATGAGTTTCTTTCAGCATTGTAAAGATTCGTGGTAATTTAATATAAATTTACATAATTGTTAAAAAAGATAAATTGCATGAAAAAGTAACGTACTTCTATTTGATTCTTGTTTTTGGTAACATACTTTTAAAACTTTCATCGAAATTTTATTATGCAGTAAAGATTGATTCAGATATTTTTCCAATTTTATTAACATCTAATGTGACAAACAAGTTACACTAGGTTTTGTAGAAGAAATTGTCCCATAAGCATTGTTACAATACGCAGCTGTCTTGTCTCTGTTTGTCGAAGAGACTATGTTAATCCGATCCAAAGAAATACCCGAGCATGGTATCTTGTCGCTACAATTGAAGTTTATTGCAATTCGAGATGACGATGTTCCTTGGAAAAACTTATAACTTATGTTACTGACATTCACCGCCGCTGACTACATGTGAGAAATACGTAAGCTAGTCACTTTAGAAAATATTTAAAATTCTTTAGAAAATATTTTATTATTGACCCAAGGGTCAATGGTCGAGTGCAATCAGGGTTACAGGTTGATCCCAGCCTCCTTGGTGGTAAGTGTTCAAGACTCGCAAAATGTGTGTGAGTTTTGTCGTATATACTTTTAAAAAAAGCTTTACCTCTGTCGGGCAATTATTTCTGTCGGGACAATAATGTTGATCGATTATAATAGGGTTAAAGACGTTATCGAGTCCGATATTTTCAAATGTGATGTCTCTAGCGTATCCAGAACCTCCCTGTATGATCATAGGTGCCAATTTTTTCAATTAGTAAATATATAAGCTTTCAAGTTTCTTTTAGTCGAGACCACTTAAACTTACCTGCCATGTCTTGATTCTTGCTCCATTTTGTGTCCCAGTAAAGTTACAGCGTTTTATATAGATTCCTTCCACTGTATCATAACTATTGTTTAAGCCCAAACTTCCGATACTACAAGACAAAGATAACGATAAGCAGCCACAAACACTCAAATCGTAACAATAATCCTAGAGATGCACAAAAAGTCTAAAGCTCGGTGCCCAAAGCCCAGATAAAGCCAAGTCTAAAAGCCTGACCAACCAAATTCTTTTTCAAAATCCTGGTTGCGGGCTTGAAGCCCCGAGCACGGGTCTAAAAAAGCCCAAGCCTTGTGCATCTCTAGTCTGATCTGAAGCGACTTGTAGCCTTTACCTTATACCATGGCCTGGACCGCAATTTACGTCTGTAATATTAATTTGAGTGGCTCCATTATTTAGAGCTATACAATCATCACCTGATGTTTAATAACACAAAATGTTGTCACAACTTTGAACAAAATGTTGAGCTAAAATAAATAAATTCTAGCAATAAATAAATATTTACCTGTTTTAATAACTAAATTTTTAATTTGTATTTGGGTTGAGGTTGAGATGTCGATGCCATCAGTGTTGGGGCTATTTGCAGGCGCAGCTATGTCTAAATCTGAAATAGTCGAATAACTGCTTCTAGAAAGACCGATATGATTTCTAGGGCTATCTCGGTGACTAAGGTGCCTCAATTGAAGCGAGTTGCAATTTTCAAAATGTAATGCCTACATATATGTACATGTTTTTCAATTGAGTTTATTATCAGTAAAAGACACACAAATACTTTTTTAAATAATAGCGTACCGTTGGTGGTATCGAACATTTTAATTCTTCTTTCATCTGCAAAAAGTTATTATAATTTCAATTAAATATAATATATTATTTCGAAACTGAATCTAAAAACACATTATCGTACGTAGGTCGGAGATTTTATCCACCATGCGGCTCCACGACCGTTGATCATACCACCTCCATCAACAGTTAAACCTGTAACGTTCGCAAAAAATATCCATGCTCCGGTTTCGCAACCGTTCCATGAATTAGGGTCTTCAGGGGCGATAATCGTACCTAATATCTACTCATAATACAAATGTAATTATCCAAGAGGAGAAATAGCAATAAACTATAAATTATAGGGACAAAAATCGCATTTTTTAAACCACAGGGATGAAATAAAAATTGTTAATAAACCACAAGGACGCAAATTGTAATTAACTCTAAAATAAAATATTCATCATAATTTTTTACATTTTTATACTAAATATGCATGAGATTTTTTGTGGTTTAAAATTTAAAAAATTATTTTATTAAAAAAAATGGCTAATATCTATACTATATTATAAAGCATTTGACAAAAACTCTTAAAAACAATTTTTTATACATTAAATACCGTATATTGATGCATATTACTTAAAATTCAAGATTACAAGTAAATTATGCGTAAATACAACTTATTAAAACTTCATGTTTGAATTCGTATAACTAACTGCGGATAAACATAATCAAATAGAGGATAAACATCTCATTTTAAAATAAAAAAAATCTAAAATATAATTAAAATAATTATCGAGTTCTAACAAAATAATTAACTATTATCTTCATAAGAAAATTATGTTACTTATCCAAGTATAAATTACTTCGCTATTAAATTTAAATTAAATTATAATTAAAAAAATTAAATTAAAAAATTACACAAAAAATAAGGAATTTTAAATAGTTAATTTGATACTAATATCGATATAATTTTGTCAAATTTTTATGATATCTTCAAATTTAAATTTTATTCAAAAATAAAAACATTATCGTTTTTTCAAAATCACATAACTATATTATAACATCAATTGAGATAAAAAAAAAATATTAAGATCAAAATGTATCTCGCTGCATTATACGAGTACCCTTTTAATTACCTCAAAATGGATATCAGGAGATTTGCATGGGCCTTGAAAGCTAATTGGGCCCACTAAGAAAGTGTTGACTGACGGAATGGTCAAACTTGACCCTGGTTCAACATCATTACACAACATTTGCCAAGCTTGCTCAAAAGCCTTTGTTCCCAAATTAAGAGAAAATAAATTCATCAATTACAATTATAAATTCACAAATTAAGAAGAGCACGACATGTATACTCAATTGTTATCATTCATTATGAATAATGAATGTAAATATTTTTTACAGCATTCATGATGAATGATACACCATTTATGATGAATATTCTGTAAATTTGTGAAACGCTGCATAACGAAACTTGAGTTTGCAATCGAACGTGGATAGATGTACAAACAAATTCAAGATAAAAATAATCCAATTATGCTCTCTAAACCCCAAAAACATGATTTACAAAAATAAACATTTCATGAAAGATTGGGACCAGAATTATGGAACAATATGAGCCTTATTTTTGGTATTTAACGCAATTATTTATGCATAAAATACACATGATATTATAAAATAGAACTTCGTAAACAAATGATCAGAATATGGGAAACAAACAGTTCAACACTTAATGAAGAAATAAAGATCCATTTATGTTCTTAGAACCTTAGCACGAAACAATTTTGATAAAAGGAAATGGTCGAAACTCAAAATCCAATCACAGTGCACACATACCTTGGTATCGTCAGTTATGCCATCGCCTTTAGCGCCATATTGCATTATGTCATAAGCAGCACCCCAGCTTTGATATGGCAAGCAAAATAATAATAAAATAAAAAATAACATCGTTTTCTCTGTTTTAACTGTGCAAAATTATACTACAATTCTCTGTCTGTGGGAAAAATATCTTGTACTTCTCATTCTGATATGAATATGATGTTTGGTGTGTATATATATACACAGATGTACGTATATGTGTTGAATGAAGTGAGTGAGAATTTAATATTTTGACTTGAAACTTAAAGGTTTTAAAACTTCCAAAATTTTAAAAAAGAATCTAAAATTTACATATTTGATCAAGCAATTAAACGCCAAAATCAATTGATATCATCCACTTTTACGTTCTTGTTCTACAAATGAATTGAGATATCACCAGATAAAGTATTTCAACTTTTAAGAAATAAATTATTTGATATTTAAATTTAATTTTAAGGGTAAGTTGCATGAAAAAGTAACGTACTATAATTTGATTCCTATTTTTGGTAACGTAATTTTAACACTTTCATTTTGGTACCTAAGATGTAAAGTTTTAAACAATTAAGTATCCGGGTAACCGGTTACCATGTTGATGTGTCGAGTAATGTAATAATATTATTTGCTGACATGGATATATTTAATCTAAAATTAGTTTTTATGTATTATGGTTTGTTATAAGAAAGAGTAAATACTTCAACCGGTTACTTGGGTACTTAAATATTTAAAATTTTACATCTTAGATACCAAAATTAAAGTTTTGAAAGTACGTTACCCAAAATAGAAAATCAAGTTAAAGTACGGTATTTTTTTCATGCAATTTGCTCTAATTTCAAACCGATTTTTTTATTATTATTGTTTAATTTATAATTAGAAAATGAACAGATAGAAATAGCAGATGAGTCGAATCCTTTTCACGTTCTTCTTTTCATCGTTTTTGATAAATCATAAATAATGATCGTTTCTTTGTTTTTTAGTTATTTGAATACATTTTGCTTGGATACATATTTTAAATTACAAGCAATATATGTAACCATATACTTTTTCATTTAGGTGTTATTCGAGAAAAGCGATGTTCAAGAAAAAACCCTATGAAAAGCCGAGAAACATTTTAGTAATCATTCATCTGTACAGTATACACATATACATACAAATAATTGAAGTTGTTTCTTGATTTCCGATGTAAATATGCATGTTAATACATCAACGACAATAGCAACTCAGCCATGAAAAACCTAACATTCACAAATGAATTAAAACTTGTTTTTAGGAACATATTAAAGTAGTCAAAAAAAAAATTATAAAGCCATAAATAAATTTCAAAACGATAAATCCACGGTCCGTTCTTCGTCATCAAAGGGTCGTAAGGGTCAAAGGGCATATGGCTCATTTGTAACCTCCGGAGATGGTGTAACAACATTGTCAACACAATCTCCAGAAGTTTCGAGTCTATTTGTTAACAACTTAATGAGCTTAATAGAACTCATAACTTATTTGATTAACTAATACACGGCTGTTTGATAATGACTTAATAATATAAAAAGTGGTTTATTCGATAAGCTTTTAGTAGAGTTTTATCCATAAAACCAAGTTTTTTTCCAGACTTGTCTCTCTCAATTAAAAAGCATCCTACCTCCATCTATGAAAAAAAATCCAAACAAAAATTTTCCCAATCTAGCTAGACAGCTTTCTCCATGTAGGACTTAATGAAAAACCAACCAAACAACACAAGTAGTAGCATGCTAAAATCATCCTAAATAATCCATCCAACTACAGAATACAGATCGGCAGACAGCTGCAACGGTACATGAATCTATAAAAAAAATGCTTACGAAAGTAAGGTCTAGACAGGGGAAAAAATTGCAAACACTACAAACGACAATTAAATGGCACAAAACTCACTAACGTACAAGAGGGCGAACATATGATGACTCCTTGCTAACGTTCAAACTGATATAACAGACAAAATTATCTAGGGATTGCCACCACCAATAACCACCATACTTACTGGCTAGAATTATGAGCCCATGATCGTTGCTATAAGATAAACCGCTGAATTGACTGACTGTTCCTAAGAAGGCACTGCAAAAAGAGACCATTGAAAGTCAGTCACAGCAAGAAAACAAACAAGATGGTTGAGTGAACCTTGAAGTCAGATCGATCACTTGAAAGGATCTCAAGAAATTGTTTTAACTTTTAAGATTAAACGCCTTTTCGGCTTGTGGTATTTGTTGAAATTTTCACATACTAAATGTTCACGAGGTCATTGGAAGGAAGCTTCTTTACTACGCACATGTATGCATTTCATGTTAACGAAATATTTATGCTTTTTGAGGTTATGAAAAGAACCAAATTACTAGTCTGTTGCTCCATCAATTCCTATATGTCAAAAGATTTTCTAATTCTATTGCTGTTTACCTAGATTTCAGTCAATGAAATTGTAATTTCCTTAAGAATCCTTCTTGTCTTTGTCTATCTCGCAAGAATTAAGTGTTCCCAAGTCCCACTAGCTCTATAAGAACCCCCATAACTACAAATGCATGTTAGAAGCCTACGCGCGCGCGCGGGGGGAATTTCACTCATGCATAGACATTCAGAGAGAAACCAACGGTACCAGTGTTACCGATAGTCTGGTAGAGCCCCAGCCTCCCAGAAGGTCAACGGTTCAAAGTTCAAACCTCACCAAAGGTGAGGGTGCATGCGAGTATTTTCCGTATATAGATATCATATACTACGAGAAAAACATAGAGAACAACTGAACATATAAGCTATGTTGCAAGGATACTGGTATGGGATGAGTATGTTATATGTGAATGGGGATTCAGAAAGAGTATACGTATGGCATATAAGTACTCAAAAGTAATATCAAGGTTAAATAGAGCATACTATATGTTGAAGTATCAATCTGCTCAGGAAGTTCTTTTATATCCACTTCAAACCTCTCTTGAACCTACAATCACCAAAATGTGGTTTCTCATGCAGTCACTTAATAGACCAAACCAAACAAACCCAGTATATCCCAGCAGATGTAGGGTTTGGGGGTAGGATGTATGCAGCAGACCTTGCCTATACCCCAAAGGATAGAGGTGTTTCCATACAGACCCCCAGCTTGTAACTTAATAGATCATACTCTAGATGTGAAGTTATAGCTATATACCTGATTAAGAACATCTGAGTCAGCTGCAGATGATACAAATGTGATTGCAAGTCCCTTGGTCCCAAACCTACCAGCTCTGCCAACCTGTCAAATCGCCAAAAAACAAGACTCGTAAACCAGTATAGCAACAAGAGTCATAATAAGAATTGGTGAGTCACAATAACGACAAATTTACCCGGTGGAGGTAAGTGTCAGCAGAATCTGGCATGTCATAGTTAATGACAATATTAACACGTTCAATGTCAATACCCCGACCAACTAAATCAGTCGCCACTAGAATTCTCTTGTGCCCTTCCTTGAAACCCTTGTATCTCGTCAACCTGCAAAGTCGAACCAGTAAAAATAGACCATCACTACCATCACAACAAGACGACTGCCACATGCATCAATATGGAAATCATACGTAATCCAAATCCAACTATTCTTATTCCATTTTAAAGATTATATTTATACCACATAATATTCGACACAGAAGTGCACAAAAAAAGCATGAGTAGGTGACCTGCATGGACAGTAATCAAGTGTAAACAGTGACAAGCAAGGCAAATCGTTGTTCAAAAATATTTACATTACTATCTGAAATGAAGAAGACCAAAGAACACTATTGAGAAGCAAGAAAAACTTCTTCCATATTAAGAAACTAAGCACAATAACCACAGTACAAATTAAATGAAGTGTCACAAAACAATTAAAATATTCATTCCAAAACAAAGCCAGACAAGTTTTCAGGATCATCATCAAAAACAATTAAAAGATCAGAGGGCTCAAAAGAACTAGATCAACTGATGAGATATGCGTCCAACAATTTCTTCTATATACCAGGGTTACTGATTACATAAATGTAAATAACCAATTAAGAGGTCTTTGAAGGCTGCTACCAGAACTTGCAAGGCAGACAAAATGCTGCTAACTTCTGTCTTTTTTCAGGAGGCTTGGCATTCCAATACATGAAGTGCTACTTTCATATAGCCAAACAGCATTTATCCTACTTGTTCAAAAGCCAGAAGGAATTACAAAAAACATAAATCCAACTTTCAACATCCCTTTCCGTCCCAAATATAGTAAAGCTAACACCACATATATAAAAATAGAAAGAACACAAAACATACTCGTACGATCATCAAACTTAAAATTTTAACTTAGATCCCCTAGTATTGCCATGTTAATATGGTTACTAGGCATCACTGTCAAAATATCCTTTTCCGATTGGTGCCAAGAATAGAATTGCACACATTCTAGTAGAAACCCCAATAGTACTGATCCATGAGTGGTGAGACTTCCATGTGATTCTTGAATGAAGTACAGAAACAAGCACTACTACATATTCACACAAGTACACAAACCATACAAACTGATTGAAAATCTCTTAAGTAAATGCAAATGTTCGAGTTCCAGGATCAAACGTGGATGAAACAAGCATGAATGGTGATCAAATATGTAAAAGGAGCGTAAGCAAACCTTTCTTCCTGGGACATGCCAGAGTGGATGCAAATAGAAGGAAAATTACACTCAACAAGCAACTTGTTCAGCTCTGCAGCTCTGCTTACACTTTTGACAAATATCACAACTTGATTGAAATCTAATGCATCAAGCAGATCATTCAGTTTACGGTTTTTCTCCAGCTCGCTCAGTTTGATGTAGTGCTGCCATACATCAACGTTAGAAATGTCATAGAAAAGGGTGAAAGAGTGGCTATAAAAGGTACAAACCCTTACCTGTACAAGACCATGTAGCGTCAACTTGGCTTCATCATCCACATAAATTTCCATTGGCTGAAAGGAACAAACGTCATAGTAAAGGATATTAGGAGCCTTTGGAAGCTAATGGATTCCAGTACAAAATGAATGATGGATGAACATCCTTGAATCAATATTCTGGTCCATCCGGTTCTCCATTGCAGATATTATCAAATCAGACTAAGCATGTTGAGAAATGACGAGTGCTATCTACCGTGAAACAGATGAAGCAAAAGAAGAAATAAAGACAACCACCACTGGCAACCTGAACGACTCAAGGGCGAACTACAAAGCTACAAGATGTGAGTAGCAAAAAAAGAACTTATGACACGTTAAACCCTCAACTGTGAAAACACTCGGAAACCCTACACTCTTCCGGTTTCTAACCCTTCATCCGAAATAAATATTTCCCACTAGAAGGATGTAAACGGAAGCACGAATCACTTGCAACCTTGAGCATCTAAGCATCAACTGCAGAAAGCTGACATTACGAAAAAGTAGTGAACTTCAAAATTCAAGTGGAACTGGCGACAGGACATTACATCTTGCATAAACTTTTTGCACACAGGGCGGATTTCCTTGCTCAGCGTTGCAGAAAACATCATTACTTGTTTATCATGAGGAGTCATCTTGAAAATTTCTTGCACGTCTCTCCTCATGTCTGTGAATTGCATGAACACAAGAAGATAAGATCAAAAACCAATTTTCAAGTTTATGGTGTCAAAATACAGCCATACAGGAGTCAGGAGTGTAGACATAAAAAACATACCAAGTGACTCGAGCATCTTGTCACACTCGTCAAGTATGAAGTGCCTCACATTCTTCAATGCAAGGTCTTTGTCTCTGGCAAGTGCAAGAATCCTTCCAGGTGTTCCAACAACAATATGAGGGCATTCATTTTTCAGAAGATCCTTGTGAATTTTGATGTTAACACCACCATAGAAGACTGCAACCTTGATATCAGTCAAGTAAGTGCTGAACCGTTCAACCTCATGACAGATCTGTAGATGAGGTGATTAATGACACAATATAAAGAGGTAAGTAGCTGAATAAAGTTGTTTGTGTAAACAATTCAATTCCATCTTGCTAGAATAGTCTACCAAGTACAAGTGAACGAAATTATTCTTATTTGAAGGGTACAGCTAAGAATAACCTCATATGATTGAATTATGATACAAAGATGAAAAGGAAATGAGAGAGAGAAAGAGAGACGAAGAGAGTTTACTGGAAATGCAATACACACCTGATAAGCCAACTCCCTTGTGTGACATAAAACAAGGGCAGCAACTTGGCCCGCAACAGGTTCAATCTGCTGCAATGTTGACAAGACAAAGACGGCAGTTTTGCCCATACCAGACTTTGCTTGACAGATGACATCCATACCCAAAATAGCTTGAGGAATACATTCATGTTGCACTGGTGAAGAGCCAAAGAAATTGGAGCTAAGCAACCCTCATGTTCAATTATAAATTTACCAAATGATTGTACCTCTCCAAATGATACAGGTAATAGCAGTTATTTACCTGCAAAATTAAATAATAAGTTATATTAATCAGGCACATTTAAAAAAGCTTAACCACTACGTATGACAGAAATTAAAAACGATGGCACATGCATGCCAATCATCGTTTTACAAAATACAAATTTCAATATTCTCTATATGAGAAAACAGCAAAACTGAAATATTTCAGGGATCCTTAGTTCCCATTCATGATTAGGCACAAAAGCACATATGAGTCAGTGAACAAAAATTTACAAAACTATGCAAGGTTGAGCCAAGTAAGGTCTCGTTCAACTCCCAGGTACCCACACCCAAACATAACATTCTTTTTCGAATTTAGATACTCCATCAATTGCCTCTGTTCCAACTACTATTCAAGTGCCAGTATCCAAACAAATTGTATGGATTAAACAGCAATCTATAAGGCATACATTCACCTTTCTTTGATAATGTTATTGAGGAGCATAACAACAACCAATGAATTCCCAGAAGTTATGGCAATAGCAGCTTCATAGATGAAACAACCAATATTACCACAAGCTTCCTTCTATATATAGCAACTAGTTCCGCACAGCCAAACAAAGGTTCGACTTCCGAAGTAACACAAGACTGAAGAGTAACAATCATGACAACAGACGAACCAATGGTAGACATGAATAGGAATGCCAACATATGAAATATTATCTTTTAGTTAAATGACCAGAAAACAGCTTGCCTTCAGAAGGATGCTCAAACCCTGAATCCACAATAGCACGGAGCAGCTCTGGCTTTAGAAGAAAGTCTCTGAATCCAGAACTATGAATTCCAACGTACCCCCTGCATTCAAAAATCAATTTTGGTGAGCTATCATACTTCAGGACCTGGAAACAAATTTGAGGAGCAACTGCAACTCAATTAAATCGACTAATTATATACTCTAACAACATATCAAATCGATGGTTCCAACTCAATCACAATTGCTAATTGGAACCGCAGCCGAGCAGCACATGTATCAAAATAAATTAATTTACATTAACCCCGATTTGAGGCTGTAGCTTCTTGCTAGCATCATTAATCCAAATACACAAAACAGATTAACTGCTGTGTAATCGGATCTCATTAGATAATAATAATAAAAAGTTGAAGCATGATTAAGTTTAAAAAATCTCACTTTTTAACGGCTTCACCATTGACTTTAACACCAGCGGAGTCAGGGGCTTTCTCGTCGTCCTCCTCGTAGTCTAGAAGCTCTTCTTCGTACGTATCGTTATCCTTCATCTCTGTCTCGCCCATTGCTATTTCAAACAGATATCGAGATTCCAAAATTAGGGTTGCGAAATTCGAGTATACGGAATTGAAATAAGATAAAGAATCAGATAGACTGGGATCAGGGTTCGGCCGACCTTAGATCGAAGTGAAACCTTAGATTAGGGTTTAGAGGACCTTCTGCACTCTGCAGATAAAAAAAGTTAGGAATAAACGGGAAGAGAGTTTTTAGGTTTTGAGTTTTTGAAGTGTGGCTAAAAGGGCCCTTGCTGGACTTTTATGCCTTCAAACGCTATACAATTTACCATTCTACCCTCTATGTATTTTTTTAAAGTAAACTACAATTTTGGTCCATATAAAGACCTCGTTTGCGGATTTGGGTCGGGTCCAGCTCGGAATCAAGAGCATCTTCAACTAGGCATGATAACAAGGCCGAGAATGCAATTTCCGCTCCAGGTTCCACTATCTTGTCCCCATCCTCGGCCCTGGTCCTCACCAGGTACGGAGAATCGAATCTCCTTCCTACTTTTTGTTGGGTCTATCTTCGATCCACCATCATGTATCCCCGGTTCAACCATAAATGGTTGATCAAAATTGATTGAAAAATATAATATATTATAAAAACATTATTTTAATTAATAAATATATACGGGCAGGGACAGATCCATAATTTTTTCAAACAGTAACATCGTTTGACTATAACAATAAGTGTAGGGATGTTTTCATAAAATAGTCATTGGTGTGTTGGTTAATTCATTGTTTTCATATGTGAAACCGTATGTTCAAATATTTTATTGCAAATTTTTTCTAGTAACATAATAAATCTAAAATTAAAATTTAAAAAATAAGAAACGACACTAATGGGATTTGAACTTGGGTTTGGAGTGGAAAAAAAATCTTGCAAACACACTCTACCAAATAAAATTGTCATTACTGTAATTTCAAAATATATGTATATATATACATATACATATATATATGATGGCACACAATAAATATATGGTTGCACCTTTCACGAACCTAGTTTTTTTACCTTCGACGGAGGAATAATGTGGTGGCATTGAATTGGGTCCATCCTTGCATACGGGAACGGGACGGGTTGGGGAATACATTATTCGACCACAGTTTTTAACACGTTCGAGGATCCCCGACCCCGAACAGGATGGGTGAACCAGATTCCCCAACAGAGCGTGGCAAATCATCATATCTCTCTCCGATAGCTATGTTATAAGAAATTATTTGAGGATCTAGATGAGTTTTGTGCTCCGACAACTGTATTGTTTTATATGATAGATTATAAAAAATAAGAGAAAACACATAAATCTCTCAAACTCTATATATGATAAATAAACAATATTTTAATTTCTTTTGCCACCAATAAAAGATATTGAAAATAAATATTTAAAAGAGTGAAATAATATTTTAATTAAATATATAAAATATTTTAATAATAAAGTTAATGCTATAATTGGTAAAATAAAGTAGCTGTTGGAGTTAAGTGTAGATTTTTTAGAGTTTTGACTTTTGATATTCTAGTTTAGAAAAATTATAGTATAGTCGTTGTAAATGTTTTACCAAGGTACTTAATTGAGTATACATTCATTATTCATAATGAATGATAACAATTGAGCATCCACAGCGAAAAATTATAGTATAGTCGTTGTAAATATTTTTTTTAACAAGGTACTTAATCTAAAAAAATTGGTTTCGCATAATATGGAGCATCCACGGGGAAATGGTCAAATGGAGATAATAAGGAATCTATCAATTGAGGTTATTATGTTTTAGATGCTCAAAGAGTTCAAAATCACAAGTCATAATTAAGTGGTAAATGGTAAGCATCAAGATTTTTCAATTTTATTTATAAACTTCCATTAACAAGTCAACTTATTGTAAAAGTATTAACAGTCGGCGAGTCTGTTAAATATTTTGTTGTGTCATTCATTAATGATGGTGATTTGTCCCGATCCGAACTGGGACGGGGATTTCCCACTAAAATGGGTCCTGGTGCCGGGGATTCCCGATAGACTCAAACTAACGGATATTATTCATGACGTTTGATCGGGAACGGGATGTTAATCCTTGTATCTGTCGGGGCCAGTCGGCCAAGGACTGTTACTAAAAAACAGGGTTGGGGATTACAAAACCCGCCTCATCCCCTCCCTTTTGTCATGCATATCGCTCATGTCCACCCATTAGTTATAACATGTGAGTCCGGACTCGCCAATTTCTTTGAGAATGGTTGTCCAATCTTGCTCATGTTGCACATTTTAAAGTTAAGTCCGACCTTTTATATGTTTTTTTTACCCTTTTGACTTTATTTTTAATCTAGACATTAAAGAACTACATAAGCAATTAAACACCGACTCTTAGCTCTCAAGCTCAATTAGGGTCATTCTTCTTAAATCTTAAGTTCTTAACAACTCACATTTTTATCTCATCTTGAAGTGCACACGAACTTGTGAAACTTTAATACATTATTTGTTTATGATTTATTTTAAAATGTTTGATTAGAATTTACTATTAATTTAGACTAAGTTATATTGCATATTTCACGTTGTATTAACGTGTTACATGAATTATAGAGTATGAACAATGAAATTATTTTTTCAATTTGCATATATCATTTTTAAATACAGTACCTCATAAAACTATGTGAATTTTACGGTATGATATTTTTGCCGTTTGAGGAATGCACTGTTTTGCTCTAAATAGCACCACAAACACCATTAATTTAATCACACATCATCATCATGTCGAACTTGTAACAAACATTTGGATTTTGGAGGAAAAGGAATCGGGAAGCAACTTGGCATCATCAACAAATTCTCAAAAAAGTTAAAGTATACCGGTTATAACAAAGCTTCTTTTAACATATTGTTTTATGCTTATGTCAAAAGTCAACGTATCATAATTGAAAAAAGATTTGGTTTAAATTTATATAAAATGAAAATCGGCATCAACTCGATCCAACAATTGCATGTTGGGTAATATTCGATATTTACCTTACCGGCAAGAGTTACCATCCTCGTTAACTTTATCAGGTAACATTTCCATGCATTAAAATAGATGTCACCTAAGAACTACATGTGAAAAGATATTTCGGAGTTGACCGAGCGTACAAGGTTAGTTTGCGACTCCCAACGTTTGAACTTGATCTTGTGTTGATGTACAAGCTACAATTTCATTTTGAATGTAAACAAATATTATATCACAAAACCACGAAAATCGCTTGGTGAATTCGGCAGATTGACTGGTGGGATCAAGGAGAATATAGGCAGAATATGCGTGAAGAAGGACATTCATGGCCGAATATACTCTTTGATTATTACAATCCAATATTTCTTCATATTCCATCCATTCGCAGGCTCTCTTTCTGTCTCTATATATAGTTATGTACATACGCATTATCTTATTGCAAATTATTCATCTCCATTGTTGAAATCGCTACAGATTTCGACTTCTTTTTGGCAGGAAAGCAGGCGAAGATTTGAATCGCTCAACAAGATGCAGTTTCGGAAGCTTTTGAATAAATTGATCGACGAGACGTTACCTGAATGGAGAGACAAGTTTCTATGTTATAAGGATCTGAAGAAGCAATTGAAGCGCGTTTACTCCAGAGACGGTCGCGGTAATAAGAGGATAAAATTGAGCAACGGCGATGAAACTGATTCGATTGCGACGGAGGAGGAGGTTGCTAATTTCGTGAAATTGTGCCAAGAACAGATCGATAAGTTCAATGATTTCGTTCTCGAAAAACAAGAGTGGTATCTTATCAAAATCGAGGTAATTTTGATATATGAATTTCGTTATTGAATTGTTCATATCTAGATGTCGATTATCCTTTTATCAATTCGTTTAAGTTCGTAATTTTGKAATGAAGGTGCTGGAAGGCAACTTGATTGCGACCAAGGATTCAAACGAAGAGTTGTGGAAAATTGGTAGAACCCTAGCAGATTTACATGGAGAGATAGTTCTCTTGTTAAATTACAGTTGGCTTAATTACACAGGTCTTGCCTCTTTACCTTTTCCCCAAATTATACTCCAAGCTTCCATTAAAATGCTGCAATTTTGCAGGATTGGTGAAGATTCTGAAGAAACACGACAGACTAAGTGGAGCTCTGGTTCGAGTGCCTTTCATCCAGAAAGTTATGAAGGAGCCATTTTATGAACCCGATGTACTAAACAACCTCGCGAAGAAATGTGACACGATGCTTGAACAACTTTTCTCCATGAATGAACCACGGACGTCCGCATCTGCAACAAGCAAGAAAGAAGAAGGAACAATTCCTGAATCATCATCTGCAGAACCCAAAGAGAAGTCTTCTCCTACAGTTCCTGAAGAACTCGTTGACATTAAACACATGGAGAACGACTACATGAAACTCACTCTTTCGGCACTTAAGGTTCTCCAGGAGCTTCGAAGCGGAAGCTCAACCGCATCCAGTTTTTCGCTACCCGTGATGCAACAAAGCATGGAGAGGAAGGAGGTATGGAAAGAATCTCTTGCTGTAGAAGTAAACCGGTAACACTTAACTTGTTGGGGTTTAAGATCAGGCATCATGACGATCAACGACATGATCTTTTCCAACAAACGATGCGGAACAACTTGGAATGATGAACGTGTTGATCGAATAAACGATCATCTATACTATATTACATAATATTTGAAAAAATAATTTTAAAAACTATTTTCATGTATTAAATATTGTTTATTGATGCATATTATTTAAAATTCAAGATTACAAATAAATTGTGCATAATTACAACAAATCTTTATGTTTGAATTTGTAGAGCTAACTGCAGATAAACTTAATCATATACAGGATAAACATATCATTTTGAATATAAAAACTCTGAAATATAATTAGAATAATCATTGAATTACACTTATAACAGAGTACTTAATTATTATCTAGATAAAAATTATATTATTAAACCAAAAATAAATTATTTTGTTATTAAACTTGAATTAATTTATAACAAAAAATTTGTATTAAAAAAATTACTTAAAAAAAACGAGAATTTTTAAATAGTATATTTCATACTAATATCAATATATTTTTTTCAAATTTTTATGAATATAAACATTATCGCTTTCTCAAAATCACATAAAACTGTATTATATCGTTAGAGACAAAAAAATAAAATGAAACATTATCTCAATGTATCTCACTACATTGCGCGAGTAGTATAAATAAAAAGTATCAAGAACACGAATCCAACGGTTACTTGGTTT